CTTAAATGCGTTTGTCTGTACGGTTGTCGCGGGTCAAAGCTCAAACGTCAAAAATACATTTTTTTCCAAAATAATCCGAAACTTAATAAAACATGGTTTGGGAGGGGTGTTGAGGGTGGATGATGGTTGGAGAGGGTCGAGGGAGGGTCGGGGTCAAGGGTCAAAGGTCAAAAAAGCATTTTTTCCAGAAACGCGGAAAACTTCATAAAACATGGTTTGGGAGTGTGTTTTGACACGGAAAGTTGGTTGAGAGGGTGAGGACATGTGAGATAGGGTCGATGTTAAACGTACGTTGAGCCCTGAGGTCAACGAGCCATAAGAGAATTTCATTATGAGTGGAACAAAGATTAGGTAAAAGCTTTTCATAACTCCACATGTGCAAGGAAATGTATTATGCATGGAAACTGAAAGATTCATTCTCAGAATGTAATGTAAGTGGTATTTATGATAGTAGAAGAATTTCCTTCGAAACACAAGTCCAAAATACAATTCTGATTTTTTTGCTTCTGTTGGTGTGACTATAGAAAACAGACAGCGAAGAATCTTATATAAATCATTGTTAGTATTCGTTTTTGCTAGCGTACCGAATCCCAAATTGGACACCAGAAGAGGATGTGTCTCACACTCAAGTATAATAATGCAGAGAAGAAAGGTAGTGATCGTAGACTAAATGAGCGAGATTTTGATATGACAACGTCTCTAGTGATTGATAATTTTGTTGGAAAATATTGAAGCAGGCATTGTTTAAATAAGTTGGATAGTCAGCCTGAAAAATAGGAAGCGTGCGGAGCGGCGAGTCGTGAGTGGCGCCCCGTTGGGGCGCCGACGAACGACGAGCTGCTCCCGGTGACGCTTTCTAGTTCACACTTTGAAACATTTTGACACCTTTGGATTTGAAATTTACATGAACACTCATCTTTCTTCACTTAACTCTTCATTTTATTAGGAAAGGGAGAACACGTATAAGGTATGGTGCGTCAGCGCGACCGAAGATTTCTGCACCATTTGATTGTTTAGAATGTTAGATAATCTGTTAAATGTGTATTTTATAGAGAACCGTTTCCTCTTCCAAGCTGTATGCTTTCAACGATATCATAAAACTTTCTTTTAGACCAGTGTTAAAAAGAAACCAAAGGGTTAGTTTTGAGCGAGCTGTGCAGAAGCGAAATTCGCCCGATCATTCTGCTGAATTAGTCGAAGAGAAAGTGTTCTATTATGATCTAACCTATACAGTTCGATAGAGAAAAGGATTCTCTACAAAATGCACATTTAATAGATTATCTTATATTCGAATCAACAAAATATTGCAGCCATTTGCGACTGGAACCAAAAACGTTTTTTGGTCACGATGCTAGATCCTAGTTTGAAGATGCCTGTGATGATCTATAATGCAAGAAATAATATATAATAAGTGTATCCTGTATTGAATCGAAACAAATCGAATCTCTACAGTATGTTCTTCGTCCTTTCATAGTTCTCAGTACATACAGTATTACTCTACAGAAAAGTATCAAGCCTTATAAATAATATCTAAGATCTATCGCTATCATACAATGAGTTGATGAGCCAGATGATCATGCGATCATAGTCTTTTCAAAACACAGAGAGCAGAAATAGTCGTACATAAGAGTGCGTTTCTGATATCAATATCATATGAATGGTACATAATAAGAAGAAGAGATAAATCTATTAATATCTCTATGTTGGGTATATGGATTAAGAAGCTAATGTCGAAGTTNTAAGCGTGCGTTTCTGATATCAATATCATATGAATGGTACATAATAAGAAGAAGAGATAAATCTATTAATATCTCTATGTTGGGTATATGGATTAAGAAGCTAATGTCGAAGTTCATATAGAAAGGAAGAATGGAGATAATTGTTGTATATGAAGAGGAAGAGAAAAAAGAGAGAAGAGGAAAAGTATACAATCATAGATTGTCATAAGACCAAATATCTATAGTTTGAAGCTTAAATTCAACAATCTACCCTTCCGTTCAATTATTCGAGTATTCGTATACTTGCGAGTGAGTAAAAGGGTTCTGAAGGGACATCATTTCAGTGAGGATGAACGGAAGAGTTTTGAAAGCAGTCGAATATTCAAATAATTGAAAAAAGACTGCAAAAATAGTTGAATAGTTGAGTCGAAATTTCGAGTTTCGCATTACTAAAAGACGCAAGCATCATAGTAGCTATTCATAGCGGACTGCTGTTTCATGTGTGAAAAATGATCATGAATAATGGACATTACATAAATAACAAGAACGATGACAGTTCTTTGGTTAGTTTTGAAAAAGGTTGAAATTGACGAGGACCGTTCCCCAGATATCATTTGGAAGCGCAAGTTTTATCTGAAGTATAACCCAATCAGTCGAGGGTAATGCGAGTCTCCCTCGACGAGCGTTATTTATTGCTAAGGAGAATTAACCTCTTTTAAAATGGATAAAGGCAGGACGAGAGAAAACAAAAGAAATAGTATAGAACGGCACTAACGTCTGACTATTATATATTTCGAATCGAAATAAGAAACGCAATGGATGTCGACGACGCGCCATTATCATCCTCGTCTTCTTTGTGTTCGATCAAAATTTCATCACCAGCGTGTTCAAAGTCGATTAAACCTATTGTCACAAAAACGAAGTCCAATAAAAGGTAACCAATGCTGAGCATCAGCGGTTACTGCTACCAGCTGAAAAATCTCAATTCAGAAAAAACAATAAAATGTTGGCGTTATGCAAATCGAACTTGCGATGTACTTATGCATACAGCTCTTGATGATGAGTTCATCCGTTATTCAGGAAAGACAGCTGAGCACTCTCATTTACCAAATCCGGCTGAATTTGATATACGAAATTTGAGAGAGAAAATGCGGGTGAGAGCTGAAATTGAACATTTACCACTCCAAGAAATCGCTAAAGATGGGATGCGTAAAGCTTTGCTAGTAGGTGAAACCCTTGCTGTCCTACCCAACTTAACTAATATCGGTGCGTCTGTAAGATGATTTCAATCTGTTCATACAGGAATTTTTCTTGCATTGTATGTATTTCATCTAGGCCACAACTTGGTTCGCAATCGGTGCAAAACAACGCCCGAACTTACACTGTCATGTTCGTTCGACATTCCTGATATATACGCGCGCGATTATAGGGATCAAGAACGCTTATTACTTCATGACATTGATGATCCATAGTATGTAACCGACAACTCGGAACATGTGCGACCGACTGGGCGAATCTTAGTTTGGTCGTCAGATATCCAGTTCAACTTACTCTTTGAAAGCGAGCGATTACATATGGATGGAACGTTCAGTGCATCACCGCTCATGTTCGAATAAGTGTTTATCATACAGCCATTCATGCATGGGACATGTAAATTGCTTCACATAGTAAAACTTTTGGATCAGCAAGTTCTCTTCGTTTCGGTATCGATTCACTGATTTTCGGCATCCCCATTGTCTATGCGCTGCTACCTGATCGTCAAGCGATCACATACATTGACTTATTCGAGGTGTTATCTACTGAAGCAAAGCGGCTGAAGAAAAGCTTTGAGCCTACACTGATTATGACTGATTTAGAGCCCGGTCTGACAAAGGGGATTGCTCTCGAGGTATGTTCTACGTTCGCACTATTGCGACCAACCGGCGAAGTTTCTACGTCTTGTTTTAGTTTACTGGCAAAACGGCTCAAAAAGGATGTTTTTTTCATTTTACACAAAGTGTCTATCGAATAGTTCAATCGCTTGGTTTGCCAACGCTTGATTTGGAGAATCTTCGCATACGTGGTGTTATTCGACGAATGATGAGTCTTGCGCTGATACCTCCCCAGTTTGTCGGGGCCTTATTCGTCGATCTCGAGCAAGACTTGAATGATGATGAGCGTGCCGAATTAGTCAATTTATTCAAACATTTCAATGATTACTGGATGTACCAAGCTTCATAGTGGGATGTCTACGAAGTCTCTGGCGAGACCAATAATTATAATGAAGGTATTTCAGCATCGATCTTCCTAAGAGTCTATGCATGAAACATGGTCTGCATTGTTAGGCTACAACAACCGGTTTAAACGACGATTACACAAAAATCATCCTAACGTGTGGGCATTCATCAATTCGATTCAAAAAGAAATATATACAATTCATAGTTTGGTCGTTCAAATAGCAAGTGGAATGCAACCGCAGACAAACAGATCGAAATACAGAATTGCACAACAGCGAGTCAAAGAATTGTATGACCGGTTCGACAACGGGAAGATTTCAATTCATGATCTGTTACACCGACTTTCCTTTTTCGTCGCACATTAGCAATAAAATAAAAATCAATCCGATATAATAAGCTTAACTCATTGATAAACACTCCAAGCATTTTATAAAATACTCTATTTAAAGAACACTTTTATCCTGGGGACATTTTTTCGAAGGACAAAACGTCATAAGAACATTCAAAAGAACATTCTTGACTGTTACCGAATTTGCCGATTCCGATCGAAACCTGCTGAATTCGACTGGAATTATACCAAAACCAACTCAGATTTAAACAGATCCAATCACCGGAACGATTGACCTGAATAGTTAAATGTTTTGATTAGTTTGACCTTATAGAAACCGGAACGAAATATTTTCGTTCGATATGCAATCTTAGATAAAAAAATCTAGTAGATAAAAATATACGATCATCAAGAGAAAAGGAGAAGAAAGAAAAAATAGTGTCGAGTTAATGGTATATAAGCAATGTAAATTAACGACAGAAATATATTCATATCTAAGGTAGGTCTTCTTATATTTTTATATAATATGATTTTGCGGCTAAATCATTTTTGAGTTAAGCAATTCATTTGTGACAAAATGAAAAAACACATATAAACATTGATATTTTCGTGGGTTCGACTTGACCAAAAATAAAAACAGTATGATTGCTATGGCGGTGTTAGCGCTGTACCGCTAGTACAAATTCTACTGTCAATATCCCTTATACAGCTAACACCGGTGACACTTCTATATTCCTCTACTGGTAATAAGTTCTAGCACCTTCTACTGGTAATCATCGTACATGCAAAATTCACAGAGAGATACTGGTGGAGCATGTTCCGCTGATAATTGCATTAATGTTTATAGAATTTGAATGTTAGTTTGTTTAGTAGCCCCATCTATTTTACTAAAAAATATTAAGCGCTGACTGAATTTGTCGCAGAATCATATTCTCTATTACCTAGATTTCTATCAACAATATTTTAGTTCGTTTTATTTATTTGTGATTATTCAATATAACAAATAAAATGTCTTTATCTACCAATAATGCTATAACAAAGCATTCAGTTAATGGAAATTATTTATTACCATCAACATTACCAGAACCAACTGACGAAGAAGATTCATCGAAACCACGTAAGATTTATCTATTTTTTTCATGAAAATAGAAATCTTTTAAATTTAGCTCGTCGAATGAGTATTCTTCAATCAGACAAGGCTTTACGTGATCATGATAGTAAACTAATCTATACTCAACGTGTTGAAGCAATTTCTCATTGTTATGAAGAAATTTTGAATAGTCTTGGGGAAGATATTCATCGACAAGGTAAAGATTTTCAATGATTTTTGATAAGATAAAAGTATTTTCTTTGGAAAAGGTTTATTAAAAACACCAAAACGAGCAGCAGAAGCAATTCTCTTCTTTACTAAAGGATATGAACAAGCAGTTTCAGATGTTGTTAGTGATGCTGTTTTTGATGAAGAATGTGATAATATGGTTGTGATCAAAGATATTGATATATTTTCGTTATGTGAACATCACTTGTAAGTTTGAAAGAAAATTCCAGAATTTCTATTCATTTCNACCTAATGATGCATCATGATTATACAGATCATAATTCATAGGATACCAAGTGATAGCTAATAAATCAGTTGTAATAAATAAAGTCGATAGAAAAAGAACAATCATGATGTATAGTGGACTAGTTAAATATTTCCAAATTCCTAAACGTTTATAAATTCGTTTGTACCATTTCTTTTCATTATTGATGGTTTCTGATGATTCTATTCTAAAGAAATTCAGATACTGTTTGAGCATATGTGCATTTATACCTGGATTCCTCGTTGTTATTTCATCTTGTTTTGTATCGAATTGATACGATAAATTCAAAAAAGGAAATTTCCAGTCGAGAAAAAGAAATGATGAAATTAATAGTAAAACACCAAATGACGCCCAAATAAAACATATTTGACGTAGACTTATTTTATTATTATCAATCAGAATCTGAAAAACAAAGCAAACCGAATAGCATATTTTGATAATAAAATCGATTTTTACTTGAAATATTGCAAACCATATTCCTGAAATGATTCCAGCACCTGTAAATATTGTTGATATAAAAGCTCGTGATCTGGAAAAATAAGCACTTGATGCATATGTTGTTACCATAGTACAACTACCAGAAAATGCCGTAAATACAGTATGAATAAAAATTAAATGATCTTGGCCTATAAGAAATGATCGAATTGATAAAAATCATTTAGAAAATTTCTCACTGACCAGGTTGAGCAAAACCTAAGGACAACCATCCAATTACATGAAATATTCTTCAGAAATCGAAAACATTTTTCGAAAAGTTTATGAAATACTTTTCCAAACTTACATGGAAATCAATTTAACAGAGCGAATTCCAAATAAATCAATACAAATACCGACGAGTACTGTTGGTAAATTATAGAAAATCAATCCCAAAGCCACTGCTTCCTTTATTTATGAAAATATTTATTTAGATTTAATGGCAGAAAAGAAACAATGATATTACTTGATACTTTTTCTGTTGTTCATCACAACTTTCGTTGGAATTTATAGTTACATTTGTTTCATTTGAAATTATACAATAACTATCATAAATATGACCTTTGGATAAAATTTCAAAAATAGCATTAAATCCAAAAATAGTAGATGAAACCAATGCAATTTCTACGGATAACCAAATAACACCGAGTCTCTTTCGATAGATATGTTTTGTACTCGTATCGATGCTCATTTTACAAACTAAAACAAGAATCAATAAAGATAAATTAATTCTCCCCTATTCTTTTCTCTTTCGACAGTATAAACTTTGTAAAAGGATTAATGTAAAAACAAGATGACGATGATGGTGGGAGATAAGAACTTATATATGTCATCAATATAAAGTATTCAAAACAACTTACCTACTCGTTACTTTACTTCTATTGATTGACTTCTACCAGAAGGGATAACAGTATATTTATATATTTTTATATTCTGCAAGCGTTATTTTTCTTTTCAGGTGTGAAATTTATTCATTAGAATAATTGTATTTTATTGGTGGCAATTGATACGCTTAATTTTCAATCCTTGGTTACCTCAACAACAAAATTTATGGCTCAAAGTTTAGTACATGGCATCGGCATGGTCAGTCATCAATACCTTTCCTTCAGGAATGATAACATTCAGGAAGATAGATAAAACTACTGAGATTGCGGATGAGATGGTCAGTTTAATCTGTAAGTGTTCTGTTGTTGCACATACTCTCGTTCTCAGAACACCAGAACATCAGATTATAAGTTCATCGATGTTTTAACTCCAAAGTAGCTATGCTGACAAGCTTTTTCTGTTTTCTGAAAGAAAGGCTTATAGCTATGTTAATACTCGTTAAAAGTTTGTTTGTTTTTTGTTTGCCCAAGCCAATCAATTTGCAGCATTTTATAAATCAATGAAAACTTAACGATGGTCATAGGGAATGACTGATGAAAGGTAATCGGAACCGAGGAACACGAATCTGTGGTTAGCATTTCGAAAAAAATTTTTGTTCCATTTTTTGCAACACTGGATAACCTTTTTTTGCAAAATTTTTTTTCTAAGAGCCGACCGAAGGGTACTTGAAATGGGAGAGCTCAAATGTAATGATAGTATTTAGAAATTTCTTTTAGCTACCGGCGGCTTGATACTTCGGAATGCCTAATGTTCGATGGAAATTTAAGAGCAACTGGAATAAATTTGCATTTGTATGATTCTCCTGTATAAATGGTTTTTGTTAGCCATATAGTGACAATCGAGTGTATTATGTAACAGAGTTGTACACGGGGCAAAATGTTCTGTTTTGAACCCGAACCTATTAATAAGAAATTGGACGTACCAAGAATGTGAGAACAATGTCTTTCAATGTAAAATTTTTTGATCTACACGATGGTGAACTTTAATTTAACATCGGATGTAACTGAAAATGATAATCGGTTCTACAATGCCACTAGTCAGACCGCCCTGAGACTGTCGTGGAGCAGCTTCAGTAATGGCAGTGTGAAGCCTACTGCAGCTTTTAGCTAACTCTAATGCTAAAATAAAGTACACCAACGCATAGATCGAAGAATTTTGCATCACAAAATATTGTTCTCACATTTTTAGCCCATCCAGTGTCTTACTAATAGGCTCGGGTCTATAACAGAACTTTTTGCCCCGTGTACATCCCTGATATGTAGTTCTCTTTGTCATAGAGAAGAGTCCAGTAGATATAAATTGTTTGTTTGCCTGCTTGTGTGTCCGCAGAGCCAAAAAACATCAAAAAATCGATTTTCCGAAAAACACATTTCCAGAGATACTTCGATGCGGAGACTTCGAATCTGTTGTTAGTTTTTTAAATTTAAAAACATGCGCTTTTTAGACAAAGGGTCATTTTTTTATAAAAATTTGACCGAAGCGTTCTGGAGATCGGAGAACTCGACTCTCACGTGAGTTTTTTCAAAACTTTTTATTAATCACATTTTTAAAACAAAGGACTTTTTTAGAAGGGCCGCATGCGAAGGGCTTTAGGGTCGAGAAACTCGAATTTGGCGTTAGTTTTTTTTAGAATTAACAACAATTTTTTTCAAACAAAGGATAGGGATTCTCAGGAAAAACCTGTATGATCGTATGATACCGGCTATAGTCAAGTGTATATGTATGGGAAACAAAATATTCTCTTCAATGTCCGGTGACGTAATAGTTAATAACTAATCTTCATAAAGGAATTTTGAACTAACGTCCATCTTTCAGACAACAAGACCGAGCTTCTACCCGATCTCTTATCCTTCGTACCCAACATGCCTGTATTTCTCACCGATAACACTGCGTGTGAACTAGGACTTTCGAATGGTACACAAGGATTTTTTTTGAGGGCTCATCCATGATGATCAGGAGGATCCGAGCGATTTAAAGGTAAAAAACGAAGTATTGCCCTCAAATGCGATCTACATACGAAAATCATTACGTGCACTCGTGAAAATTAATGCATCACAAATAGAAACAAATCTTGATGGTCTTCGTCATAAACTAATTCCTATTCCATTAATCAAGAAGCGACTCAATGTTCCTATAAAGCAATTCTTCGGGCATCTACGCGATCGAGTGCAAAGTGGGAGAAAAAAATCCACAAGTCACTCAAGGCACAAGAACGCAACTACCAATTGTGCCTGCCTTCGCTATAAATACATACAAAGCACAAGGACTCATAATGAACAATATCGTAGTCGATCTTCAAGTTCCGCCTGCAACACTGCAAGTAGCATCGATATATGTGCCACTCAGTAGAGTGAAGAAAGGAGATGATACAGATATCTTTCGACCTAGTGGTTCTACAAATTAAACTTCCTTCTGCGCAAGACGCTAAGCTGACACGTCTAGATGAACTTGCCAAAAGACAAAGCGAGAGTGTACCTTCTTTCATTTTTTGAACACGTGTAAATCGATACGTTGCTAAGAGCCTAGTGTTATTGCAAGCATATAAAACGTAACATAGTTTGAAATTAGCTTAAAATAATTATTCATATATGTTCATTTACATTTATCTTAATTATTGTAGTAACTGTTTCTTTTCTCTCATGGCATTAGATATTGCCTATCGTGTGTTTTCGTTTTCGCTTTTTGATATAATCATCCACAATTTTCCCAACTCTATTGATATTTCTTCAAAATATCTAGTGCTCTATTTAACATTTGGTATAAATATATATTATTACTTTTGTGAAAGCATCTAACCTATCCTGGAAAAAAACTTCTATACACAATAATGCATTAAAAATATGACATCTGAAATCAATATTTCTACGAGAAAGAGCTGAGCGAGTCTAAAGACGAGCGTTACTTGTTTCATTGAAAAACAAAGAACAAATTGATAACTATATATTGACCTTTTCAATCGAGGGTATAATGCGATTCACTCTCGACGAGCGCTATTTATTTTTATCAGGCCCGCTGATAATATTTATTCTTTACGTTGGAAAAAGAGATGAACATTCAACAAAGTTAGCTTCGACATAAAGCAATAGTTAATTGTTTTCCATTAATTTCGTATTTGTTTGTATTTTGTATGACATGAGTTGCTTGTTCTTTATTGTTAAATAAAAGGACAGCATATCTAAATTTCAACAAAATAACGTTCAATCTATATCTGATAACTATTGAATTATTCTTACCCAGGTAAAATATGATCATCAGTTTTCATTGTTGATTGGGAAGAAAGATCAATTGCCGGGCAATATTTAAGAATTTGACAAGGACGAAATAATTCATATAGATTTTGTTCAGTTATATTTTCAGGTATTTGACGAACAACAACTTTCTTTTGTTCAATACTTTCCGGGATATTAGCACGTGAAATACATTTCCCAGCATATTCAATTTGACATACGGAACCAAGAAGTTGGAGATCAATTGGTCGTCGCAGATTCATTTCAGCTTCATGTGCTGTTCGGTGAAGAATAAAAGCATACCTGAAATGATAATAAAGAGGAATGATAAAAAAAATACATCTTGAAAATCCGTTTTTATTATACTTCAAATGTGATGATGTTCGATACTGTTTTACTGTTATTCGTAGAGAACCAATAAAATATTTTAGTAATTCATCTTTAGTTACATGATTTCTTAATCCAGATACAAATAATGTCCGACGTTCAGTATTTTTTGGATCAATTATTCGTTTTCTTTTCACTAATTTGTCTTTTCTCATCGTTGTTGTCGGATCATTCTAAATATATTTTTTAAAAAGAAGATGTCTATTTGTAATAGATAACCTACTGTATTTATATATTCATCAAATAAATTAGACATTGATTGAGTAGAGTTAATTTCCATTAAATCTTCTGTTAAAAGCTCAAAATCATTTTCATCAAAATAATAATCTGAATAATCTTCACGAGATTGATTGATATTTGTATGAATGCCTTTTAAAACTGAATCGATAGATAAGTGATCGATATGTCTAAAAATAATCGATTATTTTGAAAGTTTTATGTAATATTTATTTATTGAAGGCTCGATCGTAAATTCAAAGAGACGCTTAGGTGTATCCAAAAGTAATATCATCTCTATTTTATTTATTTATTAGAAGGCCAAAAGAAGATTCTTTTTTTTACAGAAAGATAGAGAAAATAAAGCTCTATTTTTCTATAGCATTTAATTATCCTTCAGTTAATACTATGGCAATAAATTTTCAATGTAAGCTATGTTTGTGTAAAACTTAAGTAACGAAAAGGCCATTAGGAGTGCTCACATTTTGTATTTGTTTTTTTGATTTGGTATTTTTCATCAAACATCAGATGTACTAGAAAACGAAGCGTGAAAAGCTCTGCAATTTACAAAGAACAGTTTGTTTTTATTCTTTGCTTTTTGCTTTCAAAAAAACAAAACTTCTGTGTAATCAACTTTCCCAGTAATGAAAGTTGACTTCATGGAACTTTGAAAACGAAAAGTACATAATTAAAATAAACTGTTCTTTCTAAATTATAGAACTTCTCATGAGCCATCTTTCGGTGTACTTCGTTTTTTAAGAGGACGCACTCGATCGTAGAAAACAGAGTAAGGAAAAAATTTTTCGTTTGTGTAAAAAAAATGATTTTTCGCAACAGCCACAATTGGTCGCGCAAATTTTTGCTTTTTTTCAAAAACAAAAAATACACAATTGAAATAAAGTTTATTTTGTAGATCGTAGAACTTCCCACGCTGTAACTTTTTGTACATACCGACTTTTAATATAATGTATTAGAAATGCGAACACTCCTAATGGCCTTTTCGTTACTTAAGTTTTACACAAACATAGCTTACATTGAAAATTTATTGCTATAGTATTAACTGAAGGAGAATTAAATGGTATAGAAAAATAGAGCTTTATTTTCTCTATCATTCTATAAAAAAAGAAACTTTTTCTGACCGTCCTATAAGAAAATGAGACAGCTGCGACATTACTTTTGGATAACTCTAAGTAGATGTGAAGGTTTATTCTACTGAAATATATATACTTATAGCATTAGTCAGAATGAGTACATATTTAATCAGCCTACCAATATCCACTAAATATATGAAGTCCGTAGTTCTTTATCGAAATATAATTGTACTCTACTAGTCTATGTCTTGTCCATACAACATAAGTTACTTATTAATAATGATTTTTCGCAACTGACAAGGCGTATGCAATCATAAATACAAGGGAGGAAAAGCTGATTGCATATAAAGCAATCATTGACAATCACGGTTGTCAAAAAAATCTATTACTCGTTTCGCGCGTATGAAAAGTTGATTGTCACAATGTCTACTGATGAAAACTATGTATGTTCAGAAAATACTTGAACCCTCTACCGAATACTAAAGAAAAGCATAACAATCAAAAGCAATCATTGCAATTAGCCCCCCTTGAATAAATATACAACAAATACATTTATCACTCATGTATATTCTTTCGTGTTCTCACTCAATGACTCACACTTTTTTTATTGTCGAGAAAGATTTTTTTACCAATGAAAAGTATGAATATTTATTAAACCTCTTCCCAGAATAGACGGCCCTCGAGTCGCCTCTGTTCAAGAAACTATAACTCTGGAACTATGCTTAGGTCAAGGTTCGTTATTGTTCTAATTGACAGATGCGAGTTTACTCTTTCATTTTTAACTAGTTTGCGCTCGCTCAGAGCAAATCGAACCATTATTTTTCACTAAAACTTTTCACATTGAAGGGGGTCTTCTATTCTGGGGAGGGGTTTACTTATTTCATTAATCCAATAAATTATAAGGAACAAACTCTTACACGAATATTTCTGATTCAAATTGAGAATTGGTTTCATTTGATGAATTATTATTCACTGGTGTTTGTATACATGCAGGCGAAATTGGTGAGAAAACCATTTCGTCTAAATGAGTAGTGTCACATATCACAAACTATTTATTTATAAGAAGAAACAATACAATATACCTATTGTTGAATTAGTTTGAATAGAATATGTTTGTGATCTATCTATGTAAATATGATCTAAAAGAACAGAGAATTTTGAAAGAATAAAAATAAATAAGAAAGATTTTAACCTGTTGTTAGAACTGTTTGATTATCTTCAATATATTTATAGAATGATTGAATATATTTTTCTACCAAGTCTGATTGCAATAATCTCAAATGAATAAGAAAATCTTTTTCAAAAGATTGACATTGACAAGAAGAAGTTTGTGTCGATTTATAAATATTTTCTATTGAACTTGGTAAAGGAAAATGTATCGTTTCATTCCATGATTGATTCTCTGTAAAAGATTGATAAAATGTTCCCGATGATAAAATAACAAATTCATTTTCTTGTTGATTGATTCGATAGTACTGAATATTATTTTCATCAAAAAAAGAAGGATGAAGAAATATTTGTTGATGTTCAAGACAATTGAATTGATTCTGTTTAGAAAGTAAATCTTGTAAAATGCATCTTTGATGATTTGGGATAATATACCAATGATGATTTTCACCTTGACGATGATAATCAAAAGTGAAGAAATACTGTTGTGCACAATTTAGTGGGTATATTGAAGGTGATTTATGCGCTCGTCGGATATATGGATGAAATTGCTTTTGAATATGTTTTGGAAAGAATTTTAAGATTGATTCATTAGTAAAATGATAGACTGAGAAGTGGTCTATGGATATTTTTGAAGAAAAAAACTTTCATCCATTATATATGAAATATTCAACTGTTGATATTTGGATGAATTTAATAAATTCAGAAAATCATTTTCATTTTGTATACAGAATTTTTCTTGAAATGGTTTTTCTCTTGAATTGATTTCCTCAACTGGGTAAATGAATTTTTTTGAAGGAATTTTGATTAACTGTTTATTAACTGAATTTGTTGAGAAAATATCGACTTTTTTCTTCAAGTTTAATTTCCAATTTTCATTTAAGTGAATTTTTATTGCACCATATTCAGTTAATAGATCTTCATGTTTACCAATGAAATAAATCAAGTTTTTCAATTGCTTTTTATTGATTTTTATCGTTGGAACATAAGTTGACATTTTGATTTTTGGTCTACAATTAAAAAGGTTATACAGTTTCGTGTCATGTCGCTTTAGATCTTTGTTCCTCTCAAGGATTGCAGTGTTTTAACCCTTTGACTCGCGGAAACGTATATACACGTCCGACCATCTCTTATAAAAATCCAAGCTTTCGTAGAAAAAGCTGAAAGTCAAAGGATAAAAGGACACACCATTTGATAGAGCTTGATGAGATCTATCTTTCACGCCAACATTTAGCCTTTGAACTCCAGACTTTTTCTGTAAAAACGCAAACTTTTACTAGAAATGTTTGCACACATATAGGTGTCACCGGGAGTGAAAGGGTTAAAAGGAAATACACGTTTATACATTCGTTCATCGAAGAGAACAAAAGAAAATGATATTTCGGTAAAGGAGATATAAGATTGTTTTTTCGTTCATTGTATTAAATTATAGAAATATGATTCAACCCTGAAAAACTCGAAATTTGGTTGTCTCTTTCCGTTCTTCCAAAAATTGCCGCCTTACCCTACGCACGTAATCTTCGGAAAAGACCACACATACATATTTTGGAAGCAGCAGGACATCGATCCTTTCGTATCACTGATGGATACGCTCCTACATGAGTTCATGGGGAGTTTGATTTTGTGTGAAAATTCAATCAAGTACATATTTTGACAAAGTCAACGAGTCAACTTTCCGTAGCCGAAAACAAAAAGAAATTGTTTTGATTCTGCCTATACAACTATTTCTATCCGTACAAACCTATGCAAGACTAAAAATCCAACAGTGACATAGTAACCATAACTCGATGCTTCACTTTATAGTCCCTAGATCAGTACTATACTGGCATAGCGTTCAATTTTATTCTGTAAGAAAACCGGGCTATCGGGAAATATTTAAGGCCTCAGCACAGAATCAGGACCTCTTAAAGTTTCATTTGTTTATCAATAAACCATCAGGAGGTTATAGCCAATTGAAAAAAAAGATAACAAAACGAATAGATTTCGTACACCCAAATTCGTTTGAGTTTACACTACTGTTTAAAATGCGGTACCTTTACAGATGAATAATAGTTCCAAATACTTGTCACTCGTCTATATTGCACTATATTTTTGTGGAACTCACGTTAAATTTTTCGAAGAAAAATAGTAAATATAAGTTCTATATCCAGGATCCTTGGATCCCCCCCCCCCTCCGCTATGGGCCGTAAGCCGCTATTTCAGCCCTACAGCACCAGAGGCGCTACACAGGATGCAGGCACTGTAACGACTATTGTAGCAATATGACCTATAGAAGTATTAGAAATGTAGGGAGTATTAGGGTTATCGAACATAGAAAATGCTATCAGGGTATTCAATATTCTACTATATATCTGTATTTCAGTTTGATGCACGACCTTGCTCCACCATTGACACTCACATTGATTTTGAATAGGATAGTGTAGACAATTTTTACGATCTGTGCTATCTCAAGGGAGAAGTCTGTGCCTCATTGCATATCATATGGAGTCCTGCTACAGAGAAAGTGTGAAACACTTAATAAACTTTGAAAGTCAGTCCGTAAGGAAGTCTTGAAAGCTAAAATATTTGCTCGTTACTTCCAATTATTGTCATAAGTTGTTGAGATTAGTTTTCGTTTACAAAAACGAAAATAAGATATTGTTGCTTGAAAAGAAACAGCAACGCGAAAATCTACCTTTTACGACGACGAGTACCATGCAAATAATTGTAGTATTCTCAATGTATGCGTTATCGATGTTGAAATTGCTGTTGATTATAGAATTTTTGGTGTTTATGCACCTGCTAGTCGTTCATGGTGTTGGTAGGATTTTTCTCCTCTAGTTACTGATAGAAGTATTGTTTTTGGTGATTTTAATATAGATTTAGAAAAGGATGGTAATAAGGCTGAATATTTAGTAGATTGGGCCGATTCTCTATTTCTCCCTGATTGTTCCAGTTCTCTACGCTCTGACCGTACTATTGATTATACTTTTTCAAATATTCCAGATATTGAAATTCAAAGACTTCATACCAATGCAACAAGTGGTCATTTTCCTATTCTCTCTGTTTTATCTATAAAATTAAAGCGCCTAATCTGTGGTAAATCTATTCATTGGAATGTCTTCCATATGTTTACAGAATACACTTATTCATATTGGGAAAACTCATGGTCTCCTCAAACTTTTAACTTGTCTTATGATGCTTACATACAATCTCTTCATTTGTTAACAGCTAGTTGCACTACGACCTTTCCGTTGCGTAAATATAGAGTTGTTATTCCTCCAAATCTTCGTTGTTTTATGTCTTATGTTCGTGCTCTCTCTTTCCGGATGATTCGTACCAATAATTCGCATCTATTTGTTGATGATTTAGCTACTGTTTTTGCTGATCGTATTGGTAAACAATTCTCAACACAATGCTTAGATTTAGAAAGAAGGATTAAACTATTTTGTGATGAATTAGAATTCTACTGTCTTCTTGCGCTATAGCCTAGTAATTATAATAAAACTGAAGCTCTTTGAAGCTCTCGTGCACCTCGATCTTCTCCTATTGATATGGTTATTGATGGTAATAAAATTCAATGAGCTCGTGAATTTAAATACTAGTAACGCTCGTCGAGGCAGACTCGCTATGTCTTCGACTGAATCACTGACTGAAAATAAAATAGTCTTATATGTGTTTTATGCAAAAAAAGACAGAGGTGTAACCTATGAAAGGGTCCCCAGAGATTGATCTTCATTCGCCTCAGTCTTTTTTGCTTTTAATTATTCTATATTCCTGACTGACAATTACTCTTCACAGGAAGCAGAAGTTCGCTGTAAATGGCTATTATGCATTTGCACCTTAAAACATGCCCTCCTTTTTCTAGAAGAAAGATAATTTCGGTAAAACCAAATGAGACTCTGTATATATTTTGCATTCGAACGTGTCGGATTGTTGATACTTTGGTAACTGGCTAGATTACCAGGCGCCGCTCTAAAGCTGTCCCTATCTATCATATAATTACCCGTGTGTTACTAAAAAGTATCGAAGCTTAGCATTTAAGATTGCTCTCCAGTATGTAACTTGTGAATGAATGTATTTTTGGATTACTGGCCTTAGTATGCGACAGTCAACCGAGTGTGTTTTTACTTTTTCGTAATCAACTCTTCTATGTAGCCCTTCTCTCAGGTGCGGATGAAATATTTTCTTCATTTCTGTCACGTCCTTGCCCCTTCACCCCTCCATCCAGCCAACCACGAGCCTCATATGATCCCTGCCAATCGATGTTTCATGAAGTTGTGAGCATTTTCGAAAAAAATATTTTTCTGACTTTTGACCTCTGACCCTGACACAAACAGACAAGCGTACAAATTATTTTTTTCGTATGACTCTCCTTTCAGTCGACGGAATTTAGGATATCATATTTCGCCTAGGTTAAGTTGGGGAAAGTTGATCCAACGATCGATACTAAAAATTATACAGCGATGATTATTAGTTAGTTCATTTAAACTTAATGGTAAGACTTCTCTTGCGTAAAAACGTGCCTTGTTTTCGTCATTTATATTACCTTTATAGACGTGATTATATCCTATCTTTCCTCCATTTACTGATCTTCAACGTCATTCTCTTAGTAATTTCTGCTTCAATGTCCCAAACGCTCTTTGGATTATCTTGGTATGAATGATTTTCTCGTTGCGCATATCTTTGATGAACTTTCTCTTGATGATAGATGCAGTAGATATTGGGATCGTTATTTTATCGATTTAGCAGATTCTGTTGATGGTGAACTCATTTTTGAACGTGCTTCTTTAAATACATTTCGTCAATCATGGGTTGATAGAGATTTTTCAATTAAACGCCTTAGAATTTCTAAAAGATTCATTGATA